ACTTAGCTGACAGGACACTTAGCCGACAAGGACACTTGGCCGACAGAACACTTAGCCGACACGAACAGTTAGCCGAAGTGACATTAAGCCAACAATGAGTCTCGCTCTTCCCAATGGTTTTAAATTTCTAATACTTTCACATTTAATTACTACTTTGCTCAAAACATCACACTACATTCATTCCTGTATAAAGTCGTTTCGCTCTTCCCACTAATGAAATTTTTTTTCCCTGTCAGGAAGTAGAGTGGTTCGCCCTACTCCTTGCCACACTTGAACTACTTTTTTTTTTAAATCTAAAATGCTAATTACATCCTATACAATTGCAGATTAGGCATCGCATATTTATTACAGGTTAGGCTTCGCATATTTATTACAGGTTACTACAATTATAGGTTAAGCATCACATACTTATTAATATGGGATAGTACTTCGGCACGGGAATACGTACCTCATGGCCTGCGGCCAGAAGTAGGTTTGGTTTATGTAATTACGGCAAAGACAGAGGGCTATCTGTCTAATGGGAGGGATACGTTCGTGGAGGACTTTCTAAGGAAAACTGGTTCGTATACATGTTACACATGGGAAGCCTGTCCGTTCGCGGGATTCAAAATTCGGACCGAACTGCCAGTGTTCAGTGACTTTTACCATTCGGCCGCTTCTGACTGTTTTACTTAATATATAACCAGTCTCTTCCAATAAAATTCCCTTTTTAGGCTAGAAGTTTATAAATGCATTCAGGAAAATGAACACCAAAAACTCCCCTATTACCATGTAGCTACAACAGAAACGAGAAAGAGAAAAAAAAAGTTAATGAAAAGTGAAATGAAAATTTATACATTTTTAACAGATATTGAGAAAGTTACATTTTATGAGAAAAACATGACACAATATAACATATTATATTGAAAATACACATCGCGACTTTCAAAACAGAGTACATCATATTATCTAGTTACATGATTGATCTAGTAAATCTAGCTTTATAGATGGCACACATTACGGTGACTTTTCAGGAGTCTCGCTTGCTCCGCCCTGCTGGTGTCCTCTTCTGCCAGATTTCTCCGATTTTTCTTGGAGTTTCCACGTCCTGGATTCATATCAGCAACATTTTCGATATATGAGAGTGAAAAAGTAGTTTTTGAGAATAGAATCAGTTATGAATGAAATAAAACCTTAAAGAATATTTTACTTCCAAATTAAAATAATATACCAGGTTAGTGCTATAAACATAACTAATATTTAAGAGAGAGAGGCGTGGGCATAAATGTTACAGAATTTTTAACCTCAAGGATGGTGGCATGAACACGCCCATATAGGTTAAAATTTACCTTTGCTTGTCTTGATGCACTGTTTTTTAATTGTTTCTTAACAAAATAATATATATTTTCGAAACTAACCCTTCACCACCATGTTCTATAAAAAAGTATAATTCAAGAATAACAATTTTTTGATTTTAGATTTTTCTGAAGGGAAGGGAAAATTTTATTTGTGGGAGGAGCGAAATGAAATGATTTGTAAAGAAAAGAATGTAACATGATGTATGTAGCCTAGTCGGCTAAATGTCTTGTTGGTAATGTAAAATAGTAATGAAACGTAAAGGTATTAGAAATTTTAAAGTGCTTGGAAGAGCCAGACTGGAAAATTAATATCGTTCAGTAAACAAGAAAAATTATTAATGATGTGAAAGTGTTCAAAAGAACCCAGTTGATTTAATGAAGAAGCTTTACAGATAATTTTTGAAGATCCCAAATGTAATTAAGTGACTGCTGTACTTCTTTCGAATTTCTTCTTTTGAAAAAAATTCTTTTTTCCTTTCAAAATTTAATTCATATTCCCTGACAAGAAATTTCAGCACTTTTTCAGTTTGGCCAACATATACGAAACAGCACGATACATATCAAACAATGCTAAATTAACACAATAATTAAAAGCACATATGAGATCTATAAGAATCGAAAAGTGAATTTTACTGATAGGTGAAAAAATAACTTAAATATTGAACTTATGGAGAAGTCGAGAAATTTTGTAATTGATAGTATGTTTAAATATATATTGGGTATGTGCCAGTTAAACGTCACTGTCAGCTTAGTATCCTGTTGACTAAATGTCTTGCAGTTAAGTGTCCCATAGCTAAATGTCCTGACGGCTAACTCTCTGTGTTGGCCAAATGTCCTGACGGCTAAGTGTCCTTGTCGTCTAAATGTCCTGTCGGCTAACTGTTCGTGTCGGCTAAATGTCCTTGTCAGCTAAATGTCTTGTTGGTTAACTGTCTGTGTCGGCTAAATGACCTGTCGGCTAAGTGTCCGTGTCGGCTAAATGGTGTCAGTTAAGTGTCCTGTTGGCTATGTGTCACGGATCCGTTGATGAGGCCTGCCTGTGAGAACTTGTGAAAGAAGATCAGTATGCAACCATTCATGAGCTTGCTAAATAGTTAGACGTTAGTGCCATGTCCATTTGTCATGCTATGCATCGCTTAAACTTGACATGCAAGTTCAATCGTCATGAGCATGAGGGCATGAGCTGACTCAAGCAGATAAGGACAGACATGTTTGGGCCTGCACTAATCTGCTCGAATATCAATGCAAGGACAAAATTCTGGATCAGATCATCACTTAGGATAAAAAATGGATTTACTTCAACAACACAGGTCCAAAAAGGGGTTAATCAGCGCCCGGCGAGCCCATCAACAGCATCGCAAAGCGCAATTTGACTATCAAAAAGATCATGTTTTATATCTGGTAGGATTGCAGTGGTATTATCTACAGAGTACCCAGAAAAAGGTAAAAGCCTCCACAACAAGGTGTACAGCAAGATGCTGGTCTGCGTTGATGCAGCTATTAAGAAAAACCGTTGAAATGAGTTCCAGTGCAAAAAAGGTAATGTTCCATCAAGATAATGCAAGACCACATGTGTCCGCATTCACCGGCTGGACTCTGCATGGACTCTAATAGGAATTTTTGCCAATATAGCCCTGACATCGCTTCTTCAGACTTCTACCCATTTTTCACACTTGCAGCTACATCTTGCTAATGTTATATTCCATTCTGCACAGGACATCTGAAATGATGTTGATTTGCTTTTGGACTTGCTAACACCAAATTTCTGGTCTGAAAGTTTTGAAAAACTAGAAAATGTAGGCAGAAAATCATAGATTCGGATAGTGATTACTATCTGCACTAAAGGTACTGCTTTCGCAACTTTTCCATTTCGCTGGCGCAAATCTCGCCAAGCAGACTATTGGCGACAACACGCAGTATACACATAAAAATTTTTGACAAATGTTAGTTCTAAGAATTTTTTATTTTGAAGGTATAAACATGTTAATGTCATTTAAAATTTTGAAAAAAAGCCAATAATCAAAGACAATAAATTTGTAAAAAGACATTAATTTAAGAATTTACTACGCTTTCATGGTACAACATCCTGATTCGTGGTTCATATCACGTGACCCCAAGTCATCTCATCTCACATAAACTACGCTACAAAAATCTAATTCTCTCAGTAATTATCTACATTAATTTCAAGTTAAATCTTAATTTGGAATACAAGTTTAAATGCAAGAATTATTTCAATTCATACAAATAGTTTACTCAGAAATTATGTAAAACCGTAGTGCTTTACTTCGCTAGTGCATTCTCATCAGAATTGATGAATTTAACCTTTGACTATTTATAGCATGGTACAAGCCAGTTTCACTTAGAAAGTCCTCAACGAAGGCATCCCTCCATTTGAGCAGATAGTCCTTGGGTTCATTTGAGCAGATAGTCCTTGGGAGTTGTTCCTCCATTTGAGCAAATAGTTTGCCGTAATTAAATAAATAACCAAACCAATGATGATAATAGATACCAAATATATCTATATTTTCACCATTTTCTATATTTTCACCATTGGTGTGATTGCATCCTAATTGACTTAATTACTGCCCATGAATGGCCTTTGGGCATAAAATTGAACTATCTGGTAAAATTTCTATGTAATTGTATGCCAGTATTGAAAGAAACAATCAATCTGATAAGAAACTGCTGCAACTTGTTTTGAAAATGAGGAGTAAAAGGCGAAAATATTTTCTTTGGCATCAATTGTACATTATTGGGGACTTTATTGCCTGAACCGGCAAAACGGAAAAGTACCCTGCTTCCATATTTTTTTTTTAATTTTATTATGAACGTTTTTTGACAGAGAATTTTTTTTACAACCAGATATATAGAGAGAGGATGTTTAAACATTTTTAGAACAATTTTAGGATCATTTAACTGATGTTTAAAATGTAAACAGTACTTTTTTAAGTGTTCAATCTTGATAGTATTTTTAATGGGCCATAAGTCTATCATGATTTTCATGATAAATGGTCTATTGTAAAATTTCCAGGGTTATTAATTTCTATTCCTCTGCCACCACTTTCCAGAATTCATCAACTGAGGTGGGTTTGCAGTTAGCTCTTTTCAAGAGACCAAAGGCATAATAGTAACGGGTGCAACATCAAGGGATTTTGCAAGAATATGTTGAAAAAACAGTTTCTTTTTTTTTATTCTTTATCAAAATTCTAAAAATTTGTAAACATCCTCTACAGACATGCTAATAAATTAATTTTATATCAAACATAACTACATGTTTGTAGAAAAATATATATATATATATACAAGGACTCTTTTTAGGAATTTAATATGATGAATTTGTTGAAATTCAAATATAAATACACCATCTTGCCCTTTAAATGACAAAATTTTAGAACTATTTTTTACTATAATTTTTACTGGAGTTAATTTTTACATAAGCTTTGCTTTAAAATACCTATAGAAAATCAAATTTTAATATAAAAACATACAAAAAGTTCAATTCATTTGTAATATTTTATGTAAAGAAACACTGCAGGGATCAATTTAATATGAGCAGCCAATATGTAAAATAAATTGTGAATTTTAAAATTAATAACTGATAAAGATTTCAGTTAGCAAAATACATTATATTACTACTTCAAAAAAATCAATCATTTTTCTTACCAGATAATGCAAGTTCTTCCTCTAAACATTCAGAATAAGGAGATTCTGATCTAGAAGCTTCAGAACTGGAATCATTAGAGTTATCTTCAGAAATGGGCTGTTTAGAACGGGTTTTCCTAAAATGTTGTTGCTGACATGAATTACACATCGTGGCTGTACGCTGATGACAAAAATGACATAGATTCTCTGTGCTAGAAACAGCTTGCAAAGGAGCCATAGGAATATTTCCATGAAGCTGCTGAAACCACTGTGTCATCATAGAATGATGTTGCATGTACTGATGCATGAAACTCATATCTCAGGCAGGCTTTGATCTCTGCTATTATACATAAAAGCTCAAAATTAAATTGCAAAACTTTCAACAAAAAAAAATTGGCTTTTTATTATGAAGAGCATGAATTTGTTTTCATAACTTAAAAACAACAGTTCATTTTAAGCTGAAGAAAAAAAAAAAAAAAAAAAAAAAAGACGATCTATAAATCTATCATAACCATTTTATATACTCAAACAAGAAGAGGTAATTTTATAATTTTATTCCAAAGTAAAATTTAGCAAAAGAAAAGCAATCTTAGGTTGGCATGTATTTTGAATAAAACTATTATCAATTTCAAAAGCATCTAGAAATATGCTGTTCTACTTCAGCCGCAAAATTATTTAAAATCTACTCCAATCATAGTTTTTTTTTTTTTTTTTAAACCTAATTTTACATAATACATCTTATAGAAATTAACTGTTAAATTCTCTACTAACCTTTGAAAGAAATTCAAAACTCTCATACCGTCATCAAATTACAACAAATTTTTATGCTTCGTACACAGTACCAAAGCATCTGCAATTACTTTAAATCAGCTTATACCGCAAAGCAACGGACACTATCAAAAACTTTTTTATGCAATATTTACTATCTTATATCAATATTTATTTTACTTATTTACAAGAATATACGTCTTGTAAAATATGTATATATATACGAATATACGTCTAATATACGAATATGCGTCATGTATAATATACTAATAATACGAATATACGTCTTGTATAATATACGTATATTTCTCTCTATTCCTAAAATTAATTATTCTGCTTATTTCTTTCGATTTTCAAATCTAAATATTGAACAATAGCCATTATTTCAATAACTTTAAAAATGTAACTCACAAATTTATACCAGCTCTATTAGCTTCAATATTTTGCTAAAGAAATATTTCAAATCAAGTTACATTAGCACCAGACTTTTCAATATCAAAATCTGAAATGTAATTTCCGATAACAACATTACATAGCAAAGGAAAGGGGTCGAAAATGAATAATTACACTGTATGAGACAAAAACACAGAAAAATTAAACAGAAAAACAATAACTTACATTTATTTACTTACTTATGTTTACAATTGCTGAGTTAAAGTTTAAGTAACTAGCATCCATCAATTGAAAAGTTTCTCAAACACTGAGATGCAAGCAGGGGCTAGCTCTACCGATAGTGCAGCATCTTTAAGTGTTAAAATTTACATTTGAGCCCAAAGGACAGGTTACAGTAATAACCTGTCCTGTAGCTTTGGGTATTACAAGGTACGTTAAGGTGGTTTGTTGACGAATGTCTGCCTATTATTTCAACATAAGTACATAAGAATCATATCACATAAAAAATTACAGTCAAGCACTGAGAAGCTACATAGAATACATCCTCAAAATTATGCTGAATTAAAAAATGGCATACTTTATCATATTATTAACAAATATTTGCTGAATATCATTTTTGTTTTTTAGCGTTTTTTTATTAGCATCAATATTGTAAAATAGAGGGCGCCACAACTCCGTTTGGGAGGATAGTCAGCTTTCATTTTGGGGAATCATTTCATTTTTCTGCATTAAAATGGTTAACTTTACCTTAGGAAACGAATTAACATTTACAGATTCACCATGACACGATTCATTCATCAAAATGTTATTTGTAAAACATAAAATGCGCGGCAAATTTTTGCTCGCCTGTGTTGTAGATCGTCTGCAGACTTGAACAAGTTTTGGATGTATATACCCTCCCCTCCCGCCTCAAACAATTTAGGAAGACAGATCGTTTCAATAGCCAACAAAGCGCTGAACGCTTTCAGTAACCCTCAATAGCTAGTCTGGAAACCATAACGAGTCAGTGCATTCAACGAAAAATTTCTCAAGAACAATGTATGGCTCTCCATTAAATATAATTCAAATAGAGAATGTTTCAGAGAGCGTTAGGGATATCTTTTGAAACTGCCTCAGTTACCAATTTTTAACCATTATACATAAAATCTTAAATGCTGAATTGATATTTACATGGGTTAATTTATAGAATTTAATCATAGAAAAAGAAGGCGTTCACATTATACTTATACTTTTTTAATAATCTCATTATATATTAAGTCAGCACTTCATTGAATGCGTTGAAAATATGCATAACTAAAACGGATTTAAAACAGTCTTGAAATATTAGGGATAGTGTGTTATTTTATATAAAGATTCGTTAGAGTAAATTTTGCCTCTTCAGTAATTCTTATAGTATGATGATTCTTGTTAAATTTCAATATTTTTTCGTGCATCCCATAGTATAAATTATTTCACCGGGAAAAGGATGGCATAAAGGATAATTAAGGAACATTTCTCTTCCTCCCCTTCCCCGCGAGATAAATCATGAAATTCGGCGAATATTTCTCAGCCGAGCACTTTCCCTTACACTTTCTTTCAAAGAACCTGTTAGATAACTACGCACTTTTGCCAGTGTTAACAGAACCTTTACAAGAGACCAAGATCTTGATTTAACTTGATAGTATAATTTAATACATTATACAACACACAGATTTTTTTATTTGGTATCTGCTATCATCATTGGTTTGGTTATTTATTTAATTACGGCAAACTATGTGCTCAAATGGAGGAACAACTCCCAAGGACTATCTGCTCAAATGAACCCAAGGACCCAAGGACTATCTGCTCAAATGGAGGGATGCCTTCGTTGAGGACTTTCTAAGTGAAACTGGCTTGTACCATGCTATAAATGGGGAAAATCACAAAATCCCCCATGCAACCAGACCATTCGCTGCTATTCGAAGCCCGGTCGAAGCACCGCTCGGTCGTCGGTGAGCTAATCTGCTATCATGTAACGTGATTTGTATTCGAAAATGGATTGTTAAAGATGCCGGCAAATATTCAAAGCATTTAAACATTGGAAACCATATCTAAACTTCAATATAAATTAGAAAAATTCGTGATTTTTTTAAAATTTATGATGTTGTAAAATTAAGAAAAATCCTTAAAATTTGCGGAAATTCGCTCAGTAATAAAGTGGGTCTTGCAGAAGAATTCAAACAACGGGTAATAACTTTACTTTGTGGGTATTTTGTCAGCTCCTTGATTGCAAATCATCAAGTAATAATTAATGGTAAAAAAGATGAAAGGTCTTTACCTAGGTAAGCATACACCCAGTTAACGGGTATAGTTATGTTATAATCAAAATAGTTACATATTTTGAAAATCTAAATTTAGATCTATGAAATATGTAAAAAAGGTATCAGTCTGAAGATTTAGATATGGAAAACATTCGTGTTATGTTTTTGCTGCCCATTCTGACCAAAGTAAGAAGCCCTATTCAACCAATGCACTCAGGAGCAATCCAGAATACAAATGCCACATTCAGAGGCCCATATTCGGTGGAGGATTACGTTATTCAAAATTTGGTGGCTCTAGGGGTGGCGTCTCGAATGCGGTCAAGAGGGTTCCTTGAAGTTAATTGCGAAGGGGAAAATAAGCACGTGCTTTAGGGATCATAAGGGGAGATATATTGTAGAAAGTTTTTAGTCTAGATTCTAGGCTCATCCCTTGTCGTATGTATACAAGGTTATGAACAGAATGAACAATATATAGAGCAATTTGAGTTAAAATTCCATTTAATTGATTTTAATTATTTATTTACTGTATCGATTTATTACTTATTTAATGGATTGGAATATTTGAATATGAATTAGCTGAAATATTAAGAAAATATTATGACTGCGAGAATAGGAAAAAAAAACATTTTTTGAATATTTACTTTCTTATAGAATGCAGATGAATTCATTTTTACTCAACGAAAATCAAAATTTAGTAGCTAATTAATCTGTCCTGTATCGAGCACTTTAGTTCAGTGATCCGTATTAATGTGCGCTTTTTTTAAAAAAAATTTAAATGCTTCAAGAATAATTAGAAAAGGGCATAATTCTCTTCTTACCCTTAAATTCTTCAATAAAAAAACTGCATTTTCAGCTATAACCAAGTGAAATAATTTTCTAAATATAATTCAAAGCATGAAAAATAAGGTACATAAACAGCTTGGAAATGGAACTAGCATTGAGATTCTCTTTAAGAAATATGGTGAAGCTTAACAAAAAGTCTACGAAGTGAAGTAATTCCGTAGAATATTTTCTAACTCTTTATGATTAAATTGCACTCAATTATACTTTATAAACGACATGTAAATACTATTTAATGTATATGTGTGGATGTGTGTGTGTGGCTCACTAGCGGCTGAGCTGTAAAGTCGTTGAACTCTGGCAGGTCGATCCGGGGTTCGAATCCGGATCGACGGGGATGGCTGTATTGGCGTTTTCGAGGTTTTCCCCACGTGTAACGTGCATAAGAGTCAGTTTTTGCTTAGAAAGTTCTCCACGAGGCACCCTTACCCTTAGGCAAATAACCGTCGAATGCTTTGCTATAATCAAACAAACCAGACCAAACAATAGATATATAAATAAGTAGCTTAAAAACTGCTATATTTTATGTATACTTATCAAGTTGTATTTCAATATATATATCATGATTAAAAGAAAGGAAAAGTCGGATCCTAACTGATTGTATATAATGTAATCCCTATGAAGGCCCTAACAATTCTTTCTCACTTAAAGTCGTAACCCAAAAAGAGAACAAATTAAACTTCAGATACGTATACAATACTGAATCTAATACAAAAAATACAAAATATAAAAATAAATTATATATGTACGAAACCTAACTAACTATTTATATTGATATTACGTAAATATACGTATGGTAATGAACATTGTATAATAAAGATATTTTATACCTTATTCTAGTATATTTGGTTCCATTTATATATACCTATACATAGATATATATAATTTAAGGATTCCATTTAAGGATAGTAATAGTAATACTACATATAAAACACAAAAGTGCATCAATAATGTATTTTTTCAGTATTATTTAACTTCATTCTTAAGAATTTTCTGCAGTCTAGTTTGCGTTATTTTATTCATAAGTCTCAAATAAAAACAATTATTGTTTATATGTCATTAGAAAATTAACCAAAAAGCAGCGACCACAATGTAATTGAAAAACAGTCCTTAGACGTGAAAAGGTTGAAAGCCATTTGGGTTATGACTATTATCTCACATACTCAGCTACTTCGCATACATGGAACATAGCATTCGAAATGAAAAACTCAATATTAACAAATACAAATTCATTGATGCTTACAAATATTGCATTCATTCGAAGAATTCAATTTGTATTTTCCTCTGTATAAAACTGAATGTAGAGAAGTTAGATGTTTAAACGACCCCCATTTTCTCAACAGCAAGATTATCCCAGCCGTGACTCTTCTGAAATCAAGGTATCCTTGCGTTTTTCGTGTTTCGAAAACGCGACTTAAAATATGCATTAGATTTATATATAACATTGTTCTAATACAGGTAATTTGACAGAAATCGTACTTTTCTGAAATAAGGTATCACTTTTTATCCATATTTCAATTCTACGACTCAAATTACGCCAAACTACCAAGTTTTGTAAAAATCGCACGAGTAGATTTTAAAAAATTAGCTCTCAAATTTTAGCTCCTCAATGTTAATTGAATTTGATATATAATTATTAATATCTCTTTTTCTTATTAAACTTATTTGAATCTTCCTTTCATATTTCGAAGTTTAGGTTCATTCCAAATAAAATTCGTCCATTTCTTATGATTTATTTTTAAAATTTATATTTTAAAATAATTTTTATAAATTTTTCGAAAAACATTTTGAATTATAACCTCTAAACTTTCTGCCATGATCTTAAAGTAGATGTATTTTTAAGCATACCTGGAAAAAATTAGGGTTTTTTATTCAAAATTTTCTAAGTTATGCGTGAATTTACACGTTGGCGCGTTTTGAAATTTGGCGTATTTACTATAAGCAATAATAACGAAAATGTAGTTTACGCACTTTGTTAAAATTATTTGAGCGTAGGGAACGATGTCACTTTTTTTCCGTCATTCACAATGTAAAAAGGTAAGAACGAGGTGCCTTTTTTTCCGCTCAAGCATAATGGAAAGGAAAGGAAAATTGGTTGCCATATATTAAGAATTTCCCCAAATTAATTATTCTTGTCGCAAACTGAAAAAATTGTGCAAAGAAAAAAAATTTTAAATTTCTCCGTAAATTTTGGCGCGATTGCGTTTGTATGGCACCCCTGTTGACGTTGAAAAATCTTTTGCTGGAGTGG